TCCTTCTAATTATAGTCCCATCACTTTGACTAGCTGTCTTTATAGGGTCTTAGAGAGGATGGTTAATGCTCATCTTGTTTGGTTCCTCAAATCAAACATGCTCCTTTTGCCCACTCTGTGTGGGTTCTGTTGACAGCGCTCCACCATGAAACATCTGATTTGATTTGAATTGTTGAACAGGGAAGCCTTCCTCAAGAGAGAACATCTTGTTTCCATGTTCTTTGATTTTGAGAAAGCTTATGAAACTACATGTAGGTATGGCATTTTGCAGGACCTCCACTCCTATGGGTTGCATGGCCATTTACTCATTTTTATTTAGAACTCCTTACTGAACAGGCGATTCCAAGTCTGTGTGGGTTCAACTCTTTCCCCCTTCCTTTCTGCTGGAACTTGGAGTCCCTCAAGGCTGTGTTTTGACTGTCACACTTTTTAATGTCAAAATTAATGCTATTGCTACACACCTTCCTCCATCTGTTGCAAATGGGCTCTATGTCGGCAACTTCCACATCTTGTGTCGGTCATTGAACATGAGGTTTATTGAGTAGCAGCTTCAGACTGCCCTCAATCGCTTGTTGACATGGACCACTGCAAATGGTTTTACATTTTCTTTTTCCAAAACCGTTTGCATGCATTTTTGCCACCAACGGGGACTCCACCCTGATCCCGAGCTCCGTCTGGGCAATGTGGTGATTCATGTGGTCTGTGAGGCAAAGTTATTGGGGGGCTTGTCATTGACCATAAGCTTACCTTCATTCCACACATCAAGCAGCTATGTATCAAGTGTGCAATGGCTCTGAACATCCTCCATGTCCTATCTTCCACCTCTTGGGGAGTGAATCGATGTTCTATGCTCAGGATTTATTGTGCCCTGATTTGATCCAAACTGGACTATGGGTGTTTGGTTTATGGTTCCACCAGGACCTCGGCCTTGAAGCTACTGGACCCCATTCACCATCTGGGGCTTTGCTCTGCACTGGGGCTTTTTACACTTCTCCAGTCCAGTGTTTGTACACTGAGTCCCATGAACTTCCTCTTCACCTCTGTTGTTTGCAATTACCACAGCATCCCACTTGGGATTGTGTCTTTCTTCCTCTGTGTGCCATGCTCTTTCAGAACAAACGGTCTGCAATTCTTCCCTTTGGCCTTTGTATCTGGGGTCAACTGGCTGAATTGGGTCTGGCATTAGATGACATTGCTGTCCCCATTGATCAGCCCATTCTGCCATGGCTTATTACCATCTCTGCTAGTGACCTTTCCTTGAGTCATCTGAGGAAGGCAGATTCTCCCAATTGTAAGTACTGTCTTATTTTTGCTGAACATATTTCAAGCCATTCTTCTCTTCCTATTTACACAGATGGTTCAAAATTGGGTAACTTTGTAGGCTCTGTCATGGTTTGCTGTAGCTCAGTAGTTGCTCGCAGGATCCCCTCTACAGTTTCTGTATTCACTGCTGAGTTGTATGCTATTTCTCTTGCCCTGGATCATATAGAAGCTATGCAGTACAGTGATTGTACTATTTACACTGATTCTCTTGGCTCTCTACTGGCCCTGGAATTGCTTAAAGTTAATTCTCACCCTGTTCTCATCAATATTCAACAAGACTGGCTCATTTTTCTCTATATTCTGTTTCCATCCAGTTTTTCTGGATACCTGGCCATGTTGGTATTCGTGGGAATGAACTCACTGACACCGCAGCTAATTCCATTTGCTTTTCCCCATCACAGCCATGCCTGTCCCATACATGGACTATGGTCCTGTATTCAAGACATGGCTTGGTGCCAGTTGGCAGTTGACTTGGGGTGAGCAACGTCATAACAAGCTTTTCCAGATCCAACCTTCTGTTGATCTTTGACTGTCTTGGTTCTGTAAGGATTGGAGGGAGGAAGTTATCCTGGCAAGGCTACACATTGGTCACAATTTTTAACTCATCATTTTTCTTTTATCTGGTATTAACTCACCAATGTGTAGCCTTTGTGACTCTCAAGTCACAATAGCCCACATTTTAGTGTTGTGCCATCGTTATGACCATGAGTGGCGGCACCATTTTAGACACGTTTTGTAAGGGTTTACCCCTGACATTGGACAGTGTCATTGGCAATGGTGACTTGTTTCTATTTTCAATTTTTTAAGAACAATTGGTCTTTTTAATTCTATTTAATTCTTTTATCTGTTCTTTGGACATATTTTGGTCTTAACTCACTTCATTTTTACTGTTTTTACCAGTTGTTTGGCACAGATAGCCTAGTTGCTTTGCACCATAAAACACCAAACAAACAAACAACTGCTTTTAAAAATAGGGTTTCAAGGTCACCCTTTGAACTGTCTTAGGTGTTATCATTCCTCTGGACTCTCCACCATGTTTTTCCCCATTTTTCTTATAGTGGAGTTTGAGAGTCCTCACCACTTTACAGTTCTAATCTGTTGGTGTGGTGGACCATGGAGGCATCCTCCTGAATGGGTTAATGAAATATAGAAATGATTATACAACCATTCAGTTGAGAGTAGGGCAGTCGTGTTCTGCTGATTTAGATGACATGATATTCTCTATTATGAAACATATATAAATGGGACTGAGGCATCAAAATTATAATTCACCCCTTCGATTGGAATCCCTCATCCTACCCCCCACATGGTTGCTGGTTCTCAGTGGCTGGAATTTGGATTTAGAATTGAAGCAATCCACATAAGTCCTTATACATGTATCACAGATGTATATATTCCTCCCTCGATTATACTCTTGTTACTCCATCTGTGTTGTGGGTCACAGTGGAGGTTCTTGCAGATTATTATGGTTCTTCTCCTTCCATTATCCCTCGATGCTTATTATTCTGAGGATGTTACCGTGCTTGGTGTGGTTCTGGTCAATTTGAGAAGGATGGTTTACATTATGCAGACATCTTTTTGATACCGGATGTTGGGTTTCTGGATTGCTCTGTCAATTTCATATATTAACATGTGTTCTGTTCATGGGTCTGGAGGTTCTTTATTTCCTCCAGTCTCATGAATTTGAGGTGAAAGTGGTATGATCCTCTTTTCTACCCGTGTCAGATGGCTGTGTTTAGGATTGTAGTTGACTTGTCACCGGTATGATCCTCTTTCCTACCCCCACATGGATGTCGGTTTCCAATGGCTTGGGTTTTGGATTGTAGTCAACCTGCCAGTGGTATGATCCTTTTTCCTAACCCCACATGGATGTTGCTACCGGATGGCTAAGTGTCAGATTGTAGTTGACTTGCCACCAGTAGGATCCTCTTTCCTACTCACATGTGGATGTCAGTTCCCAGTGGCCTGGATTTTGGATGTAGTTGACTTGCCATGTACGGTCTGTCACACCCTAGCCATTCTATACCTTGGACACAACCTTTTAATTTTACCCACTTTTATAATTTCTGGGATAGAGTTGCATAACTATTATATTGATGTGCTCCTCCATTTTCCACCCATATGTGCGACATCTTTCTAATATGGGTGAAGAGTATACCTGGTTCAGAAGTGGTGCAGTCCTCCACATCAGATCTTAGAACCTGACTGTGTCCTCTTATGGAGTGTTCTTCAGATGCATTTGAAGGTTACTTCTTTCTTTCCTTCCCACTGGTCCCTCCACCTATTCAATGTGGATTCTAGCTATTTATCTGAGCGGAGGTAATGTACTGTATTGGAAGCTATTATTTTCCTATACTGGAAATGTATTTCTGATAGGTACTTACCTCCTCTTACACTTCCCACCCTTCCTCCCCACTGAAAGCCATTGCTTCTTTCTTCTGCAAAAACTTGAAGTGATAGTAGAATTGAATAGAGGGAGTCACATGCATCACGAGAGTATGTCGCGCTCTTATTGATGGAGGGTTGACTCATGATGATTGGCATGAGAGATGCATTGGAATCAGTCAATTCCATTGGAGGGAAGATGAAAGTACCTATTGGAAATACATTTTCAGTATAGGAAAATTATAACTTTAAAATATTTTAAAATTATACTAATTTGTTCCTATACCAACTAAAATATTGCCATAAAAGTAGAAGAATTGTAGTTGTTTTTAGTTTTCTATAATGACATTTAAGTCTTTAGAAAATTATACAGTTTCTTTTTTGGTGAAGTCTATTGGTCAATATCATTCATGTTTTGAATGTTTTGTGCAGACAGACATTATCAAGTGTGCTTTAGTTACTTAGATGATGAAAAATGATTTATTTATAATAAGTGGGATTCATTAAAACAAACACTATCACTTATGAATACAAATATATTCTGCATATCTGAGTTTTCTAAATTCTTTTTTTTTGTATTTACCTCTACTGCTAATTTTTGTATAAGAAACATTTTCCCTGCCATCAATAGAACATGACAGTTGCAGTCTGATCATCAGTTGGACTAAAAATTATTTTATAATCAATAAACAGTGCTTATGCTAATAGCAGTATCTTTTGTTAAATTTGTATGTGTTTTAGTCACATTAGTGTACATATAGACTAGCCTAATTTCAAATGCAAAATATTTCCTGTTTGAATTTAAAAGGATAATGCAAGAAAATGTTAACTTGGACCTTAAATCATTTATATCTCAATTAAAATTGATATTTATAATGTTATTGTCATAGAATTATTAAATGAACACAAAGGTGTAATGGTAGGTTTAAGCAGTTGACATATAAAGAATTTTCAGTATTAGCCTTATGGAGGCTTTATTTTTTTTCTTCCTATTTAGCATTTCAAACAGCCATTCTCTTCAAAAGAAAACAGTGTTCTTATATAAATTTATATATATATATATACTAAGAAAAATAAATACTGAAGTTTAAGAGGTTTATTAGAAAGTTAAAGCATATAATTATGCTCAGACTCAGGTTTAAAGTCATGACACACTCAGTCTAACTTGAAAATATTCCAAGTTTTGTAATAATGTTTAGGTGGTTCATTAATAAGTGTTAAATAGGCTTTATAAGAGTTTACCTTCAAACAGCTGTACTTTGCCTGAAGGTTATATTATTCCTTATTTACAGCCAATGGTGCCCTCAGTGAAGCTACCTTACAGCTCTTTCTCCGACAGATAGGTATGATCTTTTTTTTTCCACTTTTTTTAAAATTGATATCCAGTATTTTTTTTATAAGCATGCAACAAATATATGTAATCATTTGTTATTACAGTAATAAGTAGAATTGCATTGTACAGTTTAAACATATTTCAAAATGGGACACATTCTTCGTTTCGAACTGACTTTTTTTTTCCTCCCAAACTTGGGATTTCTAATAGACATGCATCACTTGGTGCATCCAGCATCTCCTGAATATGGTTTAAGAATTTGAATAACGTGTTCTCAGTTTGTTTCTGATACATATTCTAAATGTGAATTTTATTGTTTTTTTCATAGTTGGAAGCTCACTCCCAATTTCACCCAAGTTAGCATAATGTAATATTTGTAGTAGCCATATAACAAGCCTGGATCCCAGTTGGAATGTCTATGATTTTCTTCTCTGTTTAAGTGCCTTACTCTAATTTTGTACCTACCATTTTACGCTTTGCCTAAAATACATAAAGAAGGTATTCCCTTTGTAATTCGAATTGTTAAAAAGTGTTTTACTAGCAAATGCTAGGGGGCTAGCCCTTTAGCTCAATTGATAGAGCACCTGCCAGTTGTTGGAGAGCTCTTGAGACTAATGATATATTTAACAAATATCTCCCCCCCCCCCTTTTTTATAGTTAATAACAAATTTTATCAAATCCATGGATTACATATGGATTCTCTGTTTTGAAACCATGGCTTTTTGAGAATTGTTATTTAAGTTGTAATTTGATTGAGACATAGTGATGACACTTTTTTTTGGTGCAAAGTTGTGCAGAAGACAGGTTAAATGAATTTTTTAATCAGTTGAATAATTATAAAAATATCCATTTTACTTTTGAAAAGGTAATAACCACTTAATTTTTTTTGGATTTTCTAGTGAGAAGAGACTATTATTTGATAACTTCATTGTTTCATAAACACGTCTTTTACAGTGATCATGGCCATCTCTTAAGAATTGGAACTTTTCACACAATCATATATAGAGCCCTTTGTTTCTCTACAGATATTATTAACTTCTATGAAGAGGTGAATTATCTTAAACATCTACCAGTAGATAAAAGATATGACTTATGATTTATTAATAAAATTGTCAATAAAGTTAATTACAACATTCATTTATTTAAGATGGTTATGGTACTTGACTCTTAGTTTGTGGTTCACAGGCTCAAATCCTGTCACCTAATGTGTTTGCTCTTTCAGCTGTTGGGGCCAATATAATGTGATGGTCAATCTCAGTATTTGTTAATGAAGAGTAGTTCATGAGTTGGTGGTAGGAAGTGTTGATTAGATGCCATCACTCTAGTCTATCACATAAAAATTAGGGACAACTAGTGCAGATAATCTTTGAGTAGATTTACACAAAATCAAACAAACATTTATTGAAGGGTACTAAACTTTTAACAGTAAGTACAAAGAAGAAGCAATGTATTCACCTTTTTCCCTAAAATTTCTTATGAGATAGAAAAATTATTTTATAAATATACTGACTGCTTCATTCATTACAGACTGCAGAATAAAACATAGTATTCTCCTCATACTAAAAATATAACTTGTGAAGAATTTAAAAAAGCGAAAATTTATGAAATAAAATTTGAGTACAGCTGTGTTTATTCAAACTAAAAAACACTAAAATGTTGACTAAACCAACAAAAATTAGAAGTTAAAAATAAAAATTTTAATTATCTAATATAGCATAACAGGTAGTTAATATTAATTACTATATGTTATGTAAGGAACTTTTGATGAATTTGTTCTTTAAATAACTATTGAGTTGAATGAAAGGAATCATTAGAAAAATTCAAACATAAAATCAATTTTTAAATAAAGGTTAAAGTTATTCAGGGTTTTAATTGTACTTGGATTAATTTTGTTTACATGTAGTTTTAATTATCTTACCTTCATATGTTGCTGTGCCTGGTGATGATCAAATATGGGGATTTGAAACACGAAGCATGTCTGACTTTGAGAATTTTCCTCTAACAAATAATTAGTATGGATTTATTGTTATTTTTTGTTCAATTAAGTATATTAAAAGTAAGGAATAAGTACATTCATAATTTTTAAAATGTAATATCACAGTTTCCTGAATTTAACTGTTGTTAACATTTAAGGAAGTGCATAACTGTACAAAAATGCTTAGGGTTATGGAATCTCTGTAGATAATAATGCTTAAAAATATTAATTCTAGAATTAAAGCCTTTGTTCTAAGTGAACAATTCAGCACAGTGACACAACTTCCAAAACAAGAGGTATTATACATACATAATGTTTAGAACTTTAGTTGATGTGTGTTTTGTTGACTTAACTCAAAATTGATGACGTATGTTCTACTAAATCACATTAACCCTGTCATGATCAGTGAGCATATTTCTGGTGTTGAGTGCACACCACCATATCAAAATTAAAAATGTCAGTAAAAACTGTTCTAACTCTGTTACAAAAATTTTTAACTCAAAGTTATTTTGGAATACCTTGTGATTTTGTAATAGAAATTTAGTGTAATTCACAAAGAAAAATTACAAAATGCTCAAACTTAAATTTCTGCACAGCTCTAGTCTCTCCTGCAAATATTATACACTTATATATTTTATATAATTTCACATTATGTTGTTTGAACAATCACCAATGATGCACAGCTTTGAAAATAACTACTGGTAAACATTAAATTCCATTAACTAGAATATATTATAACTATTTATGCCAATGTAGAGCAAATAAAGTGGTTTCAGTAATGATTTATGGTTTCATGGGAAAATTATTAGATAGAACTTCTCAGAGATTAACAAAGGAATTTATATTTAAATTTATTAGCTTATGAACAAGCCGTAGATTTTGGATTTTTTTTTATTGTTTCTTTAGATGTTATTTTTAAATGTTTTTGTGGGAAATTGTGTTTGAAAATTATGGACTTTTCTTTTGTATGGTAAGATGAGTTAGATTTTGTGAATAAGGTTGGTGATAGCAGAATAGTCCATTTATTCAAATCCTTATTTATTGAATGTTATTGTTAAGTTTATTATATTCAAACAATATGAATAAGTAAAAGATATTTTTGTTTATTGAAAACAAACTATATTTATCAGATATAAATTGATATTGAACAAGAATATTGTTACCTATTCTCATGAAGTTAATTGTGACACCATTGTTAAAGGGCCAGTTTTCTTCTGTGTTTTTTTACAATTTACAGCTGAAATGGTGACTACTGGAATTAGCAGACTAATGTTTTATAAGAAATGTGTTAATGAAAATGAGTCAAGTTGAAACTAAATGGATATATAAAATGGAATTTCCTGATGAATAAGAAGAATTAAATTTAAAATAAAAGGAAGTATTTTTAATGTTTTTCAAAAAAAAGTGTCTCACAATTAACTATTAAAAATTTCACAACATAAAAAATGATGGAAATACCAAATCAAATTATATAAATTTTTTTAAAACTGAATCTACTTATAGTAGATAGTAAGTTTATGCCAAGATTCATGAAATTTGTCAAATATTTGCACCAAGAGAAGGAAGTAATAATCAGATCTGGATAAAGTTAAAAGATGAAGAAACCTAACGTATTCCTCAAGTGGGTACATTTTATTTAAGAGTGAAATAAGAATAGAATTCTAGTAGTTGAAACAAAAGGGTTTCATTGAGTAATTTTTGATGTGATTGACGAAACATTTTTTTCATTTTATGTGTTTTTACAATAATTATCATGTTCTCTTGTAGCTCACAGTAATTTCCCCAAAAGAGGGCCTAAGGCTGCCTGAATAGGTTACCTGTTTTAACTATACAATAGTGTGTTGTTTGTTAGTCAGTCAGTAGAAACTAAAATGATGTCACACAAGGGACACTTAACGTTTCAATTTGTACTGTCATGATGTCAGTAAAACATACACGTGCTATGAATCACAAGAAAAATTATGCACTCTGTGGGCTACAGCACAGCATAACATATGAACTTGAAAAGCAAGAAATAAAAATGTTGCTACTCTTAATTTTGGTTTTATTTACCCTTGAAATGGAACACTTTCGGGGACCCTGTGGAAGTACATCTAGTATAGTCACATACTATTAGGGTGACTCAATCATAATAAAACATGTAAGGTGATATATTCTAAAAGAAAAAGTAGGTACAACTTTGACAGGCCTAGTAATGTCAGAACTATAATTTTTTGTGTATATTGGCAGAGAAATATTAATCAAATCATGGCAAAAACTTTGAGTGAACTTTATGTAAAAAAAATCTAAATTTAACAGTTGTACTGGTAGCAAAATAAATCTTCATAAATGAGCGAACACACATCACAAACCTCTGTACTTCTGGACTATTAAGATAATACACTTGAAAACCTTGAGGTGATATACGTCTTGTTCAATTAAAGTTGGAAGTTTCCTTATTTCACAACTTTTTACATTTTGCTGTTACCCAGTGAACTGTTTTGTAGTCACAAACACAAATACACAAGCCATGTCCAGTTTTAATCTCTTCCTAATATACATGTATGTGAATTGTATAGAATTTTAAGACATTAACTTTCTGAACTGCTTCAGTAATTTACAGTTTATGTAAATTAAGAGTGATTCAGTGTTACTTAAGTATTTATGTATATGAATTTGTAACATAAAAATAGTTACTTGTTTCGTGTATTTTTAAGTGAATACTATTATTGTATCTAATAAAAATTAATGACTATTGTATTACATTTTTACCCATTTGTATGAATAAGGTATTATTATGAAGTTGCCACTGTTTAATAATTGCTATTCGTTCATTGTTAGTATTTTTCTAATTTTGAAGCTGAGGCCATGAAAGCACTTAATGCCAAGGGTATTGTTCATCGAGATTTGAAGCCACAGAACATATTGCTGTGTCACTCAGGGAAGTCGAGTCCTGTACCAAATGACATCACTCTAAAGATTGCTGATTTTGGCTTTGCTCGTTTTCTTCAAGATGGAGTAATGGCCATGACACTTTGTGGCTCTCCTATGTATATGGTGAGTTAGTGATTGTAAGGTTTCTGTTTGAGAATAAATTTACAATAATCTGAACAGTACAATTGTACATTATGAGAAACCAAAAGTAAGAATAGTGTTAGAGAAATGGTTGTACAAAGTGGAAAGAAGTATGCAATATTAGATATACCTGTACTCATGGCTGTGTTTTATTAAAACATGCTAAATTTGTATGGTAAAAGTAAGATATGGGATTCTTTTTTTATCTTTAACATTATATTATAATCAAATGTGTAACATCATTGTATTTACTAATGTGCATTTTCCTCTGTTATGTCTTATACATTTAACTGGAATTATGAATATGACTGAAAAGTTCTTAATATATGTGTATCTTATATCAATAAAGACAAAATAATGTGTGTGTGTAAATATTGAAAGATGAATAACTATTTCTTGAGCCTAAAAAGACTTAAGCAGTTTGTAACAGTATAAACTACCTTTAAAGAGTTGTAGTAATAGAACAAAAAAAAACAAGACAATAATAACAATTACTATACTTAAACCTAACATAAATTTTGTGCAGTTACATCATGTATGCTTTTTTTTTTTTGAAGAAACAAGTGATTTATCATCAAATATGCACTAATCATCAAAAAAGTTGCAAAACTTGTGCTGGACTGTTTTTCTCAGTGAAGAGATTTTTTATATTTGTTTTGCTTCTTTTTTCTACAGGCTCCAGAAGTCATTATGTCAATTAAATATGATGCCAAAGCTGATCTATGGAGTATAGGAACTATAGTTTTTCAAGGGTTAACAGGAAAAGCACCTTTTCAGGCAAGTAATAGAACAAATAGATTAATACTAAACATTTTATTCAAGAAATATGTTGGTAATAATTTTGCAGTATCCACACAATACATCAGATGAAAATATGTTACTTCTTTTTAATTGTAAAATAACAATTTATTATTTTGTGTGTTACCTATAATTTTTGTGAATGCTTGATGCTACTCACACTTAATAGTGCACAGAACATTTTACATCACAAAAGTTTCATAAAAGTATATGATCTGATAAGAGTCCAAACACATACCTTTTACTAGGTATTTGGGTATAAAATTGGTACACTTGTTCAGTTTTTGTAGGAAACAAAATATATGTAGTCCTTTTTCATGTAAGTTTCCGTGCTTTGTGCACTGACAGATAATAGATTAAATTACTCATATTAGTTGTAACAGGATGGCTAATGGTAGTGGTGAGTGATGAGTGGTATTTGTTACTTGATTAATCAATGAGCTCATTAATTCATTAGTACAGTGTTTTTCAAGCTATGGTACTCATATTTTTGTAGGAGCATAGAAAAAAGTATCCAAAAAGTTGGTAGTGAGTGCTGTCAGTTGCTTTCTCTCTAGTCAATAGTTCAAAGTTAGTGACAGTGGCAGGGTGTAAAAAGTGAAGTAGAACAAGTTGGTAAATTTGAAATTTACAAAGCTCTTTTTTGTCTGTGGTTGAGTGTATACTGGTCAAATGTATAGAAATCCGGGGTATAGAATTAAGGAATATAAAAATAAGAGAAATATAAATTGAATGAATTGACTCTAGCAAGACATGTGGAAACCACATCTCATTTTATAGATTAGAATAGTGTTAAACTGATGAATCAGGTTGAGTTTTAAGTAGGAACTAGATATAAGAGAATCATTATAAATTGAGAAAAACAAAAATATTATTTTGAATAAAGTTGGTGATCCAGGTGTAGAAAAAATTAAATACCAGAAATTTGTTTTATAAGTTATTTGGTTGACTTCAAAGTCGAGATGGCATTAAAGGTGTAATGCAAAATTATGTAAATTTGAGGTGATGTAGCTATATAATTCAGTTTTTGATTTTAACTCTTACTCCTGGTGATGGAGAAATATGTGAAAAGTCAAATAATTGTAAGACGTTCTTGAAGTTGATTATTAAATGAGAGAGTAACTTGTAATGCTTTGTAGGCTTGTGAAACTTTGTGGATATAAAAACTGGAAGCTAATAAAGCTTATGAATTTATAAGCTGTATAAATTGAATTTATTTAGTTTCACTTTTTATACTTGTAAATGCAAATGGAAAAGATTTATAATCTAAAATGCAAAACTAAGATAAAAGTCAGGTATTCTCAACACACATTTTTTGTAATAGATTAAAATTAAAAGCTTATTTAATACAATATCTGGTTTCCATATTGACTTACAATATAAAATATTTTATATGTTCATATAGGCACAGACCCCACAAGCTTTGAAGCAGTATTATGAGAAAAATCCTAACCTTCAGCCCAAGTGAGTGCTGATATATGTGTGATGAACCATTAAGTTATCTTTTGCATTCAGTAGTTTTGTTAATTTAATCAAATAACTGTCCTAGGTACTCTTAACCTTAATTAGGGATTTGTATATGTAAATTTCCAGCAATCTTTTGAGCTTCAGAATACATTTTTATTTATAAGATATAAAGTTTTACTGAAAACAAACATTTGAAATGTATTTAAGAGGTTTTTAGAGATTATGCAAATGAAATTTAAGATTTTTGAGATGAAGAAAAATATTTTAATCTTAACATGAAAATCACTTTGCACTCGGAGCAGTAAAAAACTTGAGATAATGATGGCAAATCATTCTTTAGTTTATTAAGAATACTTCATTAAAAATCAGATTTTTTGTATGTGAAAGAGTTATAATATTCACTGAAAGTCTGTCAAATTTGTGAAGATATACATACTATATTAAAAGCTAGTAGTATCAAAACTATATGACTTCAAACAAGTACAAAGTGGTTACATGGTCAATCAATTCAACTGAGCCTGTGTCGAGAGTTAAGAACTTTTTCATATCTTTGAGTCACGCCTTAGATTATAAAGACAATTCCTTTTAATTCCATTTCACATTAATTTACCAAAAACTTCATGGTGCACAAGAATGACACTTTAAATTCATGTTCATCATAGTTATTGAAAAGAACCTTTTGTTCATATTCTGTTTACCAGATCTTCTACAAAATTCTGTTATAGATTATCTATTCACGACTTATGTAGAGGTTTTTTTACGTAGTTTAAGAAAGATTGTAATTATTTAATAGTTTACAGGCGAAATAACTGTTAATTTCACCATTTCATAACTAGTGATGGGAATATATTTCTAGAAAGATATATTTAGATAATTTTTATAAATATTCATATAGGTGCTCTGCTCATAGTTATTGATATTTTTGTAAACCAAATGTAGATTTTATACCAATCCACCAGCTTAATTAAAATTTACATGACACAATGGCTGTCTCATAAAAGCTTATACCAGTTTGACTTTGTATCTGTGTACTCACTTGGTTTGGCAAGCTCATCTTAAGAGGTGACACAGATACTTGTGGAGGTTAAGGGAGTAAGGTCTTTGAAAGCTAAGGCTCATCATAATTATACAAGTTACTACTTTTAGTATTATTACTAATAACAATATGCTGCCTTAATATTATTATTTAGGTACGTCTATACATGCTATTGGAAAACAAAAATTCAATTTGTTTTTTATTAAATTAGTTCAAATGAAAGATAATCATATTACAATCCACAGATTTTTATTACTCTCACAAAGACATCAATGAAATACATGAAATTTAAACATTGAATTTTCATGACTTTTGATATGTAAAGTTGCACATGATGTTATTAGAATTAATACTGTGAACTAACTCAGACACAATAGAAAGCAGAGCAAGAGACAACAGTCTCATCTGCCCCATAGTTAATCATAGACAGTTCTTGACTCATTTCAAAGTCAAACATGACCTCTCTTCTTCACAGCTGATTCCAATGATTGACAAATACATATAGAGAGCAATATATACATTAAGGAAAACATTGTCAGGAAGAAGGAAATTAAGCCAAACTTCTGCGTGGATTTCTGACAGATGATTGGCTGGACAAATTAGAAAGCTCCCATTGGTTTAACTCCTTGGATCTGGAGTTTGGATACTTGCAAGTTGAGCTGGATGCGAATGACAGGGCTAAGAGTATTTTTAGCACAAGAGATGGTCTATATTAATTCCAAATCATGCCATTTAGTCTGTGTAATGCACCAGTTACTTTTGATTGTCTGATGCAGCTTACACTGAAGGTACTGCAATTGGCAAGATGCCTTGATGATGATTTTGTGTTTAACCACAAGTTTAAGTCAATGTCTGTGAATCTGAAGATGATATTCCAGCACATTTGAAAGGCTGGCTTGAAACTGAAACCAGGAAAGTGTTCACTCATGTAAATGGAATGTTTCTCACTTAAACTGTGAGGAAAAATGGAGTCTCTACTACACCACCTAAGATAGCTGCTGTGAAAGATTGGCTTTGACCTGTGACAAAGCAAGAAATTCAAAGTTCCCTCGATATTGTGTCTAACTATTTATAGTTTGTAGCTAACTTCTCAAAGATAACACCACTATTGCTGGCCTGTACAAAAGTGGAAGCATGCTTTGGATGGAGTGAGGAATGTGAGCAGGCATTCCAATTCCTAAAGCTTGCTTTAGTGGAAGTAATATTATATATGTTTTAAGTTTTATTTATATAAGGAAATATTTTAAAAAATCCTCAATCTCCTCTAGTATAATAATTGTGATATTTGTTCTCTAGGTCTTCCTTCGTCTCTAATTTATTTACCACCCCTCCAAGATATATGGAAACTTAATGTAAATTACTAGAATATGATTATTACTCAGGCACAGCAAAATTTCTATAGCATTTAATCTTATTTGTTTAAGGAGTCATAAACTGGAAAATCTGACCCACTTGCCACACTCACCTATCATATCCTCTCTTTCACAAATTGCCAATAGTTCTTTCTCTGATATTTTATATTATATTACTTATAATCAATAGCATAGTTTATAACCAAAGTTTTGATCTATCAAATTATGTATTATATTGTTTTCTGTACAGGTAATTGTCTGTTTTGTTGTTCAGTTTCAAGTTTTTTCTTGTGGGAATCACATAGATGAGCTTAGCTGAATTTTTAACAGTCCTTATTATGTAGTTAGAAAGACAGTTAAGTTACAATAGTTATAGGACATTATTTGCTTTTTACATGTTATTGTTCTGTGTTTTTAGATGCATTGTTTAAATGAATAAAGAATTATTTAGTGTAGTAGTGCCATTAGTATAAAAAAAGGAGGCTTGAATTTCATCAGTAATTTACAACAAAAAGGAAAGATCCAGGTAACTATTATATTTCTTGTTTTTTATGTGTATCCTTTACTTATTATCATAAAGTAACTAAAATGTAAAAATTAGAAACTTGTTAGGTAAGGTAATGAAAAAAACAATATTAAATGTTTTTATAAAGAATGCTAGCGAGCAACTTGTGCATTAGGTAATTTGATATGATAACATAAAATGCATGTTTACCGAGTGATTCACAACTTTTATGGAAGAATTATTAGTTAGACGGGTTCAAAGGTCAACACAACAATAAAATTAAGTTTAGATAGATGTATACTGTTATGAGCTTTAAGCTATGTAGGACAAAATGTTGTGGTTTCCTGTTACAATTTGCAGTCATTATAGAGAGAAGAAAGGATATTTAGATTTATTTCCTAATTTTATATGATGGTATGAGGTTGGTTAAATTGACCGACCCTTTATAGAGTTATGGTAGTGAAAATAACAGATAAAATATGAAGTTTTTCAGAAAAATGTTTGATATTGTGTAGGTTTTAGAGACTATGCAAATGAGATTTGAAAATTTTTCAAAGAAAGAAAAGTATTTTTAATCTTAACATAAAAATAACTTTGCAACTTTAGCAGTCAACATTCTGACCCATTGTATTTATGGAATATTTTGAGCAAAAATACTGAATTCAAAATTATAATTTTTTTGTCTACAAATGACTTATAATGTTTAACAAAAGCCTCCCAAATTTCATGAAAATACATTAAATAATTTCATGATTATAATATTTATACTTTCATGGTTACATAGTGTTCCAAGGTCATGTAAAATGCAAAAAACCATTGTAAAGAGGGTTAAAACAAATGAAATAAGAAAACAATGAAACCATGGAGACAAAGGATTTTATCTTGCTGTTAAGAGTTGATGAATATGAAGTTAACAGTGTTGAGTAACCTGTTAAAATATTATTGGAAAATCATTTTATTAATGTCAGATAATGTTTCAGTTTTGGCATTGAGACATATTACATGGGAAAAAATAGTAATAGAGACTTGCACTATGGTAAGAGAGAGAGAAAACTCAGAAGACAACATGGGACTGAAGAAGACACATGAATGTATTGAATCTAGTTTCTCTGGTATCAGACTTCTGACAGTTTGTTCCATTTACTGTGTTTTTATCACTAACTAGAGAAAACCCAGTTTTACCTGGGATTTTAACATTCTCACTACAGGTAGATTGACATTTTACAGAGTTACATTTAAAATTTAATTAAACTTCTTTATTAATAAGGTATACTAATAAACTTGGTATCAAAATGTAGATAATAAATCAAATGATGATATTATATAACTTGTAATTTTTTTATTTTAACACTCGTCATATAAGCTAGGAAGGAAGGTTTACTATGGGGTTATTGGTTACCAAAAGTTTTCCAATGCGGAAACTGTCAAAAATCATGTATTTAGACATATTTTAAACCAAGAAACTCTCAACTTTTTTTTTACAAAAATTGAATAAATATTTCAAAAATTGTGACACCTTGTTTCCGTAGAAAGCACACAGGCATGGTAATAGAATGACTATGGGATGGTAGCTGTTTGACTCTTCTTTTGATGTGACCATACTTAAGAAAGTAATGATTTCAGTTGATCATCTCTTGGAAAATTGTCATTGTGAATGTCGTCTTTATGCCACATCCTGAGCTCGCAGACTGCATTTTTAGGTGTAACGGTGTAGTTTGAATCAGACACAATGAACATCAGTGTATGTCTGTAAGGTAGCAGTGCTTCCCTGGAAGAAGAAAAATCAAGGGTACCATGTTTTTTTGTACTTCGCTGTCAATAGGGCCCAGTCTCAAGCAAATATTTTCCACACATACAACACTGAAAAGTCCCCCATTTCTCTCTCTCAAAAAAAATAGTATTTATATGCTGATGCTGTATTTTGGTGAGTCTTGCAAGGGGAGAAAATAAAATACATGATTGGGGGGGGGGGATAAGAGAGGATGGGGTCCCAGAATTAGGGGAAGCACTACTGCTCAGGATTTCTCTTCCAGGCTCTGGCTGTCAAGGCTGTGATACATTGATGAATCTCCATGTCAGATGGTATATGGAATTGATCAGGATA